CATGTGCACAGTTGTGCTAAACTGCTGGGAAGGGCAGATGGGGAAACTGCAGAAGAGAGAGACACAGCCGGGCTCTCGGTGAATGCTGGAGCTCTGTCTCACGTTTCTGATTCCAGTCCGAGGCCAGCGGAGTTGCGTTCATCCCAGCTGTCTCTTACATTCAGACGTGAGTTGGCCCAGGAGCTCGAACAACGTGGCAGGACTCATTCCTCATCTCTCAACTCTCCCATCCCCGCTGTGCCCCGTGTGGTACCTGGGTGGCCACCAGCAGCTCCCCACTTCATCCTGTCACCCTGCTGCTCTGTCTCTTGGGTTCCCCTGAACCAATACCATGGGCCAGGGGAATCTCAGGCTCTGATTGTCCAGACCTGGGTCACATGCTTCATCCACGGAGTGGGGGTGGGGATTTATTTCCACCTGAACTACTTGGGTTGGGGGCAGGAAGGGGAGAGACTTCCCAAAAGAAAACCAGGCTGTTTTTACCAGAAGACAGGGGAATGTGTGCCAGGCAGGCAGAAACAACAGGAGCCACCGCAGAGCCTCATAGATCTCCTGACCTCGTGCTATGTGAGATTGAAGGCATGTGTAAATCACCTTGGGTTTTGTTAAAATGTAGATTCTGATTCCCAGGGTTGAGGTGGGGCCTGAAATTCTGCATTTTTCACAAATTCCCAGAAGAGGCCAGTGCTGCGGTCCAGAGACCATGCTTAGAGTAGCAAGGCCCTGGTCCCAGCCCCTCCTTTTCTAGACAAAGGACTAGAAACCCATGGAGAGGCCGGCTGCACCCAGGCCCTAGCTCCTCCCCAGGCCCGGGCTGTGCCCAGGGGCCTCCCTTCCTCCCCCTCTCTCGCCCTGACTCTTCCCCAGCTAGAGGGCCGCCTAAACATTACTGAGTGGTTCCTGGGGCAGGGGGCGGAGTGTGCTCTCCCAGGAGGTATCATGGAAAATCCATCTCAGCAATGAACTTCAAAGGCTTTACGGCTGCATCCCAGCCGAGGCAGGAGGCCTCCAGGAACCTCCTGACCTGGAAACCCTCATGTTCTGTGTTCCATCAGTGTATTCCCTCCACGGCCCCCAGCGCTGAGGCTGACACGTCCTCTGAGAGCAAGCTGACAAATCCTGGGAGGAACACGGCACACTTGGAGCTGGAGCTCAGGGCGACAAGGCAGATGTCAAGAGGGCGGTTGGGGCGGGGATCAGAGGATGGAGGGAATGTGAGGGGGTCCAGACACAGCACGGGACACTGGGGGCAGGGAGGGGCATCTCAGAGTAACTGGATCTCCTTAAGGAGGAATATGTCCCGTGGCCCCTTCCTTCTGCACCCCTTCTCCTCCCCCTTCTCCCAGGGAGACCCCCAGCTGCCTTGTATCAGCCCCTATGCACTCTCTCTCCGAGGTCTTTTCCTCGAGTGATCTGTAGCTCAGCCCCTGCCTCCTTTTTGTGTGTTAGATATTTTCCGGAAATTCTCTAATCCCATCCACTCTCTCTAAAGGCCATGGTAGCCCAGGATGGACACGTTTATTCTTCAATGCGCCTGCTGGAGGCAGTACAGTACGGGAATTTAGAACAAGGGTCGGTCCACAAACTACAACTTTGGGCCAAATCCAACTTCAGCCTGTTTGTGTCCATAAAGGGTTGTGGAAACACAACCACCCATTTACTTAGGCACTGTCCGGCTGCTTTTGACCTGCAGGGGGACTGCTGAGTACCCCAACAGAGACCACATGGCTCGCAAAGCCTAAAATATGTCCCCTCTGGCCCTTTACAGTAAGTGCCGGCCCACCCCTTGTTTACACGCAGGCCTCTGATTAGGCTCTGTGGCTTCCTAGCTGCGTGGCCGTGGGCAAGTGGCTTGTTCCCTTGTCCCACGATTCCCCCCTGGGGTTGCTGTAAGAACTAAATGAGCGAATGTACCTAGGGCTTGGAGTGACGCTTGGTCCCCTTTAAGTGGCACAGCACCTACCTAGCATGAAAGCGCCAATTCAGGGGGCCGGGCATGGTGAACTTTCATCAGAAAGGAGACCTGTCCTAAGCTGCTGAGAGTCTGCCTGGCAGTAAGTCGCTGACATCATTTTCTTCATCATCAAGATAATAGCTATGTTTACTAAGCATGGGGGAAATTGACTTTTACAGGGGTGAAAGGTTCTAACTCCAGGGCGTCAGGGGAAATGCATGACCTGTATTACCCTTGACTGTCCCTTAGATGGGTCGTGAAGTCCAAACACGTGACTTTGTGTCCTCTTCCATCCCTCAGTCACAGGGCCAGGACTAGAATGAGGTAAGCAAGGCACCTGGAGCAGAATATTTCAGGAGGCCTCACTCTCGGATGTGTGCACGTGCAGGTCAGCGCCTGAGAGCGCGGCCTCCTTACACACCGCACTCTGGGCCCTCGCCCACCTCCACCCTGCCCAGGCCCTGCGTGCTGAACCCAGCACAGCCAGCTTTCCCTCCAGCCCCCGAACGGATGGTGGTTTCTCCAGTTCACTACCAGATGGCAGAGTTGACTTGCTTTTGGGGCCACGTTGTAACAAAATAAATGCCTGAGAGAGGTCTGGCCGCCTGTGTAGAGTGGATGCCACGTGAATAGGCACAACCTCACTGTGCTGTGTGCCAAAGCCCCACGCTGAGGGCTCAGACCGCATCACGGCGTGCCATCCTCTTGGCAGCTCTGCGATGATGGTCTCATGAGTGCCATCTTAACAGACGTGGAAACTGGTATCCAGGGAGGTTAGGTGACTTGTTCAGGGTCACCCAGGGAATAAGCATGAGGTTCCAAGAATTGAACCAGTTTGCCTGAGTTTGGAACTCAGGCCCTTCCCCATGCAGGAGCAACTGTAATATAACCACAAAAATGGCGAGTGCCCGGAGGGCACTGGGCTGGAGGTGCTGCATGCAACAGAAGCTGGGCTTAAAGACTGTGGCTTTAGTTGCTGCTGTTCTCTTGTGAACAAGGCGTTTGGAGGCAGCTCCTGGGACGAGTGGATGACGCCACCAGGAACCCGGTGGGCTCCTCTGTGTTTCCACTGGGCCCCCTTCGGTGTGTGGCTGTCTTCCTTATTCTCATGAGATGGCTGCTCTGCTCCCAAACACCCATCCCCATTCCAGGCGGGAAGAAGGGTGGAAGGATAAAGCACAAATATCCTCTATCACTGAGTCTGTCCTGATTACCAGGAAAACAGAGATTTCTCAGAAGCTCCCCCCCTGGGGGCATCTAACCAGTGGCATTGTCACACCTGGATCATTTATTTGGCCTTCACGAGCTGCAAGCAATGTCGCCATCCTAACAGGGCACGTTGCCACCTCAACAGAACCAGGCAGTGGACAGATGCTGGGTAGACAGAGAGAGAGCAGTGTCCCCAAAACTGGTCAGGTAGGGTGTGGGTACATGGAGAAGATTTGGGAGAATGGACTTAAGATTGGGAAAATAGCATGAGCAAAGGCACAGGGGTAGGAGAGTTTAGGGCACAGAGGAGGGTCAAGACTCTATCACAAATAACATAAATCCTATTTACATTGGCTTGAGCAAAAAAGGAAGTTTCAGTGGGGCTTGCTTCAGGTGCGGCTGGATGCAGGGGTCCTAAAAAAACTCATCAGGACTTGGCTTCAGCTTTTCAGCATTCTTTGCTCTCTCTGTGTTCGGGGAAGGATGGTCCCCAGCAGCTCCTGGCAGACTTCCCTTTAGCTTAGCATCCCTGCAGGAAGAGGGCACCTCTTCCCCACCATTCTAACAGGAGTCCAGGGCTGTTCTCATTGGCTGCCTTAGGTCCATTTCCATCCCTGAACCAGCTGGCCAGGGCATGTTATGAGGGGTGGAATGGGCTGGCCAGGCCTGCCTCACATCCCCATCACTGGGCCACACATGGACTGACAGTGGGGAAGGAAATGGGCCCCAGAAGAAAACAGGGGAGGCATTTCCCAGAGGACAGAGCCTGGATGCTGGACTGACAGAGCTGGGGATTGCGGGGCCCTGGAAGCAGTTCTTTTTGGCCTAATTGTCAGACATGTGATTGTACGCACAGGAGTCTGCAGGAAGACAGGCTGTGGCCAGACTGTAGAGTATTGTGCGTGCCGGGAGTGTTGGTTAAGGCGCAGGTTTGGCTGCTCCCACAGGAAGACCCAAGTAACAGTGGCTTTAGCTACAGGACAGCTGATGTCTCTGACATGACACTGCTTAGATGGGGGCAGTCACCCCACCCCAAGAGGTCATCAAGGAGCCCAGGCACTAATGGCCTTGTTGCTCTGCCATCCTCCAGCTGTTGCTTTCCTCCCCTGGAGCCAGGCAGCTCACCCCTCCACGCTCCAGCTGGCAGGATGGGGAGCAGGTTATGGGGAGGCTGGCCCCTTCCCTTTAAGGGAACACCTGGAGGATGCAGTGCACCTTTCTCCCTCCCACCCCACCTCATTTGCCAGACGTGTCCACATGGTCCCTCCCGGCTGCAGGGGAGGCTGGGAATGCCAAGTGCACCATCTGGAAACAATGCAAGGGAAGAAGGGGACAACGGATGTTGGGAGGCAGCCCAGCGTCTGCCAGGTGGGGCCAATGAGTTCGTTTCCCAAAGAATGATCCCAGGAATGCCAGAAGAAAGGCCCCACCGCACCGCTTCCACAGTCCAGAACGTTCCATTGTAGGATATCCGTAGTGTGTGTATATGTGGCCAGGGTTTCCCAAAGGAATTTGATCACAAAGCTCTTTTTGAAAAGTTTAACACCTGCTAAAAGTCTACTGATAAATAATTTCAAACCGAGAAGTTATTTTTTAAAATTCTACTAAGCACACTTCGGACGGTAAGAAGCAGTCGAGACTGGTGCTGGCCCGTGCGGGGTGGGTGCTGCTGGGCCAGCGTCCGTTGTGACACACTGCGATTCCGTGTAGGCGCACGGCCTGCGGAATCTAAGTCCTGGGGTTCTGGGCTCCACCCTCCACTGCCAGTCCTTGCCCCTCGGAGGAATAAAGGTGTTCATGCCACCGTATCTGAAACGGTCTGAATTTTTGTATCTAGGAATCCGTGCAGATCAGAACAGAAGCTGGCCCACGGCTCCACATCGAACCTCCTCTGGACTATTCGGAAGATTTTGAGCCGTGTGGGGACGTGACGATCAAGGCAAAGGATGCTTCTGAGGGTCATCTGCAGGTAGGGACTGGCCTCAGCTTCGTGCTGCAGTGGCCCTTGGGGACACTGTCTGACCGTTATTTCTTCCTTTACTCACCCCTGCTTTCCTTCACTCTTGCGTTCATTTCACACACTTTGGTGGGCACACAAACCGTGGGCTAGGAGGTCAGCGTGCAGAGACCGGGTGGCTGGTGTCTGACCGGAAAGGGTCAACAGCGGGCAATCCCTGTACAGCAAGAGAGTGCAGAGAGGCGGGGCAGAGCACCCTGGAAGACTTCCTAGATGTTGGGGTAGCTTAGAAATGTTGGGGTGACCTAGGGAGATTGCTGGCGTAGAAACCTCTGCGGACATGACAGTCTGCATAGACGTGGCTGTTTTCCAAATGGTAAGGACATTCCAAGGGCAGGAGGAACTGAAAACAGTTTCTCTCCTGGGGCAGAAAATTGCTCCAGGCCAGCGATCTCCCTAGGTCACCCCAACGTTTCTAAGCTACCCCAACATCCAGAGGGAGTGACATTTGCCCTGGGCCCTAGAAGCTGGGTATGAGTTTGAGGAGCAAGGAGGTGGGGCAGGCAGGCAGAGCTGATACCAGCCTGTCCACACGTATATACAGGCACCTGTTAAATATTTTGAATATCATCACCTGGGGCAGCAGAAGCCATGCGTGTAAATCCAAGAAGCCCGTGCAGCTATAGCTCAGTGTCTGTGTCGGTTTAGTGGCTGACAAGGGTGACGACGGGGCATTTTACTCCCCTTCCTCGAACTGCCATTTCACTTCTGAAATCCTTCGAGCTGCAAAAGTATATCCTAGTCTTTCCTCCAACAGGCATTTGTTGAGCACCTATTTTTGAGCATCAGGCTTTGTCCTAGGCACCAGAGATCTGGAAATGAATAAAACTGATGCGATGTCTATTCCTAAGCAACTTATAGACCAAAGGGGACAGACAATAAAAAAAAAAAAGCAAGAAATAAGCAATAGGGTAATTTCAGGTAGCCATAAGTTCTCTAAAGAAAACAGAACAGGCCTGGGATGGAGGTGGGGTGGAAGGTTGAACTTTATTCCAAGGGCATTGTTTTTATAATTAGAATGAGTAGATCATCTCCATGGTTATGTACAAGCAAAATGATCAGGAAGTGGCAGGTCAAAGTCAAGTTGCTAAGCCAGACCCTGCCTCATTTGCTAGAGCTGCAGATTCAATAGCCTCACCGCAAGGGCAGAGTCTTGCCTCCGCGTGTTGCTTTTATGAAAAGAAAATGGCTCATAAAGGAGATGGGAATGCTGTCTAGGAAACGTTCCTCTAATTTTTGTTGCATGTGGGTAAGGAGCAAGGATCACTTTGTTTCACATCCTGGTTGCAAAAAGCCCGAGAGTTAATTGGAAATTTTTGTCTTCCTGAAAAAGGAAATAAAAGTCCCTTTCTTTTCTTTTCTTTTCTTTTTTTTTTTTTCCCTCCTTTCTTTTTTTTCTGAAACAAGGTCTCACTCTGTCACCCGGGCTAGAGTGCTCTGTCATCTGGGCTAGAGTGCAGTGGCGTCATCATAGCTTACTGCAACCTCAAACTCCTGGGCTCAAGCGATCCTCCAGCCTCAGCCTCCCGAGCAGCTGGGACTGCAGGCGTGCGCCATGACACCGGGCTAATTTTTCTATTTTTAGCAGAGATGAGGTCTCACTCTTGCTTCAGGCTGGATAAAAGTCCATTTCTATGGAATGACCCCATGACCTGTTTCCCTACCTAGTCCATAAAAGTGAGATTTAAATGGTAGGCGAACTTGTGGGCTTTATTACCTTTAAAGCCCACCTCCCACACAACACACACACACACACACACACACACACACACACACACACACACACACACCACACACTCTTTGCTTTTGAATCAACCAAACAGCCTCTGCTCGGGATCGGTCTGTGCCAAACAGTCATCAGTTTCTCTTCATTTGGGGGCTTGGTTTTAGCCACGGGCCAGTCTGTTACAGTCCCAGCCCAGCCCCGTGTCACAGAACGTGCGTGTGCCCTTCAAGCAAGAGGCCGTGGTTGTTTGCCTTTGGTCAAGCATCGGGCACCTCTCGTTCAATTAACATGCAGTCCTTCCTTCGCGAGCTCCCGGACTCCCTGCAACGCAGGCAGCCGCCGCGTCCCTCGTAAGCTATTAGGTTCCATTAGCATTCCCTTGTGCACGTGCTCGGAATTGGCATGGCTGCTGCTCCACGGCACTTAATTTTCTCCACTCGGAGTGCTTGATTATATTTCTTTCTTTCTTTTTTTTTCTCCCCCATCTTGAGGGGGCACTCCATAAGGCTTCACAGTCAATTTCCCGTTGGAGTTATTTTCCTGCAAAGCGAAGGAGTAAAATGGCAGTGCCGGTTTTTGGGAAAGGCAGAAGTCTTAAGAGATGCAATCTGAACAGGAAAAGAAAAAAAAAAAGGCACGTGGCTAAATATACTCAGCCACCTCACACTGTTTGCAAGTGCAGCCTGAAATGGAGCAAAAGGAAATGCGTGTCCGCGTATGTACTTTTCATCTGACCTTCACTGTTGAAACACACCGGCCTCTCGCCTTCAATCACATCCTCAGTGAACTGCAATTTCTTGCCGGCTCTGAGTTCACAGACCAGCATGCTGCAGACACGTTCTGTTGGCCTGCACCCCGTCGACTCGCACGGTGCTTTTAAAAGCTGTGAATTACTAGCTGACATTTAAGAATCAGGAGATTCCATGCGAACATCTGAATTGGGGGCTTGAAAAATTGGGGGATTTGGGGGGTGTCCACATTCTTACATGCCAACAATGACTAGAGCTGAGGAGCAGCTGTCCCCTTAGACAGGGCTGTGTGCCCCAATGTGCCACAGTTGCGGGCACTGTTCCAGACACTGAAGATAAAGCAGAAGATAAATGAGTACATGATGTGCCAAGAGGTGACAGGGCTGCTAAAAATAAAGCGGAGAAAGGGGACAGAGAAGGATGGGCAGGGGCGTCCCCTTGATGGGGTGATATTTGAGTAGAGACCTCAAGGAAGGAAAGGAGTGAGCCAGGTAGAGAAGAGCCTTCTAGGCACCAGGAGCAGTGAAAAGGCCCTGGGGGCAGGGGAAGCGCCAGCGAGGAGGCCAGCGTGGCCAGTGGGGGAGTGAGGAAGAGGGGGTGAGGTCAGAGAAGCAGTCAGGGTCAGACTACATCGGGCTTGAGGGCTGTGGCATAAGATGCAGGAATGTCTTTCAGTGAGACAGGAAACCATCGCAGGGTTTTGAGCGGTTTCACAACTCCAGTGAAAGGAGGGTCCCTCTTTCCAGAGAGTACCACCGAAGTGCCAGGTCTCAGTCGTGTCGGCTTTCACTGGGACGTGGCTGTGTGCTGCAGTGGATAATACGATCTCCATTTCAGTGATACTGGCTCCGTGGAAGAAGTATCAGGAACAAAACAAAGTGTATATTTTTAGATATCTTATTTTCCCAGTATAACATGATCGATATAAAAAATTCAAATGATATTAATACAAAGAAAAATCCTCTCATCATCCCCTGTGCCCCAGAGATAATTATTGTGAGTAGGTGAGTGCATCACCGTCTAGACTAAAAATGGCGTCTCTCATTATATCCAAGAGAAGATAGTGGATAGGGAATGTCTCAGTCCTGTCTCGTTCCCAATGAGTGATATGTCCCAAGTTCAGTTACCTGGTAAGTCCCTGGGAACATGACAGATGGCAGGAAGACTTGACCACCCTGACTTCTTCTGGAATGCCTTCTGAGTTTCTCTTTCCAATGGGTGGATCCCAGAATGGGGTAAATTAGGTATTTTCCCCCAATTACAATTCAATGTCTTAAAGTCGCCATTATTACTGACACATATAAACAACTAAAGGCCATCATCCTTGGCAAAGCACCTCCAGCGGAATGGCCTGCCCCTACCCCGCCCCCAGCAGGGCTCTGCCGCAAATCCCTTCTGTCCTCCTTCATTCATTTCAATGGGGAGACTTAAAAAATGAGGGATTGCTTTTAGGAAAATTCCACTGCTTGAGTGCTTCTGCTGTTTGGGACTACCAAATAAATCATCTCTGATGAGTGCCTTTAAAACCTTTTTTTTTTTTTTTTTGAGACAGAGTCTGGCTCTGTTGCCTGGGCTAGAGTGCCGTGGCGTCAGCCTAGCTCACAGCAACCTCAAACTCCTGCCTCAGCCTCCCAGGTAGCCGGGACTGCAGGCATGCTCCACCATGCCTGGCTAATTTTTTCTATATATATATATTTTTTAGTTTTCCAGATAATTTCTTTCTATTTTTTAGTAGAGACAGGGGTCTCGCTCTTGTTCAGGCTGGTCTTGAACTCCTGACCTTGAGCGATCCACCCGCCTTGGCCTCCCAGAGTGCTAGGATTACAGGCGTGAGCCACTGCGCCTGGCCTTAAAAACTTTTTAATTGTTATATTAACAGAAATGAGATTATACCATCCATTCTATTTCATAATCCCATTTTTTTTTTTTTTTTACTCAACAACATACCATGGGCATCTTTCCACACTGATCCTCACTCAACCAATGTATAGCCAGCCCAGTGGTTCAGAGCACTGTATCGGGAGTTGGCAGCCTGAGTTTCAGTCCTGACTAGCTGTGTCTTCAGTGATGTTGATACAGCAGGAATTTAGTGCAATCGGGTCTATTTTGGGAGTGAGATCACAGGGTGATTTAGTGAGGAGAGGCAGGAGGCAGGGAGACCAAGAGAAGAACGAGGCCTCAGCCTGTCTTCAGGGACAGTAAGTTGCTTTGACCATGCCCACTTCTCTGTGCTTGTCTCTGAGATACCAAGTCTCCCACCAGGACCATGCCCTGTGATTTTAATTGCTCTCTTCTGAACACACAGGGACATTCTGACCCTCCAAGCAATACGGACAAAGAAAGGATCCTCTTGACCATTCAGGATGTAATGGTAAGATCGATTTTCAACATCCTCACCTTGAAGGGCTTGGGTCTCTTCCACAGCCAAGCAGCTGTCCCATAAAATGGGTCCTGCAAGAGGTTCTATGAAAACAATA